AAAAAAAAAAAAAAAAATCGAACCTAGAATGCTACGGAAGGCAACCAAGAAAAGAAAACGCCTACAGATAAGCTGGGAAGAAAAGGTATAGCAGCTCAAGATTGGAAAAGGAAGAACAAAAAACCTCGTATCCCTGTTACTTCAGGGAGTGGGTCTGGAGTTTGCAACTGCTATTTCTTTATACTGGAAAATGTGGTTGTGACTGAAATTGAGGAAAGCCTGGTTCAGAAGCTATGGAGGAGGGAAGGCTGCGCTTCCGGAGACAAAGGCAAGTCCTGTTTATCTTTCTACTTTGGGGAGTGTCGCTGGCACGGTCTAGGTTTGGACTTTATTCAGTAACAGAGGAAGCAGACAGAGGATCGTTTGTGGTCAATTTGGCAAAGGATCTGGGGCTAGCAGAGAGGGAGCTGGCCGCAAGGGGTGCTCGGGTGGTCTCTGATGATAACAAACAATACTTGCTCCTGGATTCTCAAACCGGGGATTTGTTCACAAATGAGAAACTAGACCGGGAGAAGCTCTGCGGCTCCACAGAGCCCTGTATGCTACATTTCCAAATTTTAATGGATAACCCCATTCAAATTTACCAAGCTGAGCTAAGGATCAGAGATCTAAATGACCATTCACCAGTGTTTCAGGACAAAGAGATGGTCTTAAAAATACTCGAAAATACAGCAGAAGGGACAACATTTCAACTAGAAAGAGCACAGGATTCAGATGGAGGACTTAACGGAATCCAAAAGTACACCATCAACCCCAACTCTTTCTTCCATATTAAAATTACTGACAGTGACGAAGGCGTGATATACCCAGAGCTAGTGTTGGACAAAGCATTGGACTGGGAGGAGCAGCAGGAGATCAGTTTAACACTCACAGCGCTGGATGGCGGATCTCCACCGAGATCTGGGACCACTACTATACGCATTATAGTCGTGGACATTAATGATAACGCCCCACTGTTTGTGGAAGCGCTGTACGAGACCCAGGTTAAGGAGAATAGCCCCATAGGGTCCTTCATTGTTAAGGTTTCCGCAGAAGATGTAGACTCCGGCGTCAATGCGGAAGTCTCCTATTCATTTTTTGATGCCTCTGAAGAGATTAGAACAACCTTTCAAATCAATCCTTTTTCTGGGGAAATCGTTACTAGAGCGTTACTTGATTATGAGCTAATACAATCTTACAAAATAAATATACAGGCAATAGATGGTGGGAGCCTTTCTGCAAGATGTACGGTTTTGGTTGAAGTACTGGACACGAATGACAACCCCCCTGAACTGATCATGTCAACACTTTCCAACTACATTCCTGAGAACTCTCCTGAGATGACACTGGCTGTTTTTAGGATTCGGGACAGAGACTCTGGAGAAAATGGAAAGATGGCTTGCTACATACAAAACGATCTGCCGTTCCTACTGAAACCCTCTGTGGAGAATTTTTACGTTCTAATGACAGAGAGAGCACTTGACAGAGAAAGCAGAGCCGAGTACAACATCACCATCACCGTCACGGACTTTGGGAAACCAAGGCTGAAAACACAGCACAACATAACCGTGTTGGTCTCCGATGTCAACGACAACTCCCCGTCTTTCACCCAAACCTCCTACACCTTGTTCGTCCACGAGAACAACAGCCCTGCCCTACTTATGGGCAGCGTTAGCGCCACGGACAGAGACTCAGGCACCAACGCTCAAGTCACCTACTCGCTGCTGCCACCTCAGGACCCGCACCTCCCCATCGCCTCCCTGGTCTCCATCAACGCGGACAATGGGCACCTGTTCGCTCTGAGGTCGCTGGATTATGAGGCCCTGCGAGCCTTCGAGTTCCGCGTGGGTGCGGTCGACGCAGGCTCCCCTGCGCTGAGCAGTGAGGTGCTGGTGCGGGTGGTGGTCGTGGACGAAAACGACAACTCGCCCTTCGTGCTGTACCCGCTGCAGAACGGCTCTGCGCCCTGCACCGAGCTGGTGCCCAGGGCGGCCGAGGCGGGCTACCTGGTGACCAAGGTGGTGGCAGTAGACAACGACTCCGGCCAGAACGCCTGGCTGTCCTACCAGCTGCTCAAGGCCACAGAGCCCGGGCTGTTCAGAGTGTGGGCGCACAATGGCGAGGTGCGCACCGCCAGGCTCCTGAGCGAGCGCGACGCGACCAAGCACAGACTCGTCGTGCTGGTGAAGGACAATGGTGAGCCCTCAATGTCGGCCACCGTCACACTGCACGTGCTCCTGGTGGATGGTTTCTCGCAGCCTTACCTGCCGCTCCCGGAAGTGCCCCTGGATGAAACCCAGGCCGACTCGCTCACCATCTACTTGGTCACTGCGCTGGCGTCGGTTTCGACGCTCTTCCTGTTCTCAGTGCTTCTGTTTGTCGCAGTGCGGCTGTGCAGGAGGAACAGGGCCGCCTTGGTGGGTCGCTGCTCGGTGCCTGAGGGCCACTTTCCGGGCCACTTAGTAGACATTAATGGCACTGGGACCCTGTCCCAGAGCTACCAATATGAGGTGTGTCTGACGAGAGGTTCTGGGACCAGCGAATTCCAGTTTCTTAAGCCAATTATTTCTTGTTATCCTCCACAGGGCACTACTAGTGAAATCGAGGAAAATTCTAATTTCCAGAATAGCTTTGGGTTTAATTATTGATAGAAGCCCATCTAATAAAGACATTTATTTAATATTTTCTTGATGTTTAGCTAAAGCTTGTATCCACCACCACCAATAAGATATCATTTCATTTCCTCTATCCTTAATTTCCTTCTACTCTATGTATACATGTATATCTTGACATGATTCATGTTACTTCTTTTTCCTAGAACTTCTTAAATTTTTAACACAATGTGTAGCATGTGATACATGTATTTATTATTTGATATTCTTCCTTTTATTTTCCCTTCAAAACTGGTATTATTGTTGGTTTATCATCCATGGTTTTCCTTATAACAATTTTTTCCTAACTGTGTCAAGTTCTTACACAAAGTTTTATTGTCACTTTAGTGGTATGTCCTTATTTGGAATGTTTCTATTATGAATTATTTGAGAAATAAATAACTAACCATGCTTTTCTAAAAATAAGAAGAAAATCCATTGTAAGTGTGTGTATGTGAATTTAAGTTTGGAGGGGATAAAAAGCAAAGCTTAGACATTCCATAACATCATATGGAAATCTTTAATAATTTATTGCTTTTAATTCAAAAAAAAAAAAAAAACAGAGGTCCTTGTTAAGTTTTTAATAACTGGCTAACAAGTTCCTTCCTGTTTGTTTGTTTTGTTTTTTTAAAAAAAGCTCAATAGAAATTAAGTAGAGGATTATATAGTGTGGTTTTTATAGTCAAGAATTAGAGTGTTGTTTCCATGGTATCTAGCGTTCCCCAGTATATCTCTTCATTTGAATGATATCTCTTGCTTATTGTAGGGTAAATAGAGCTCCCTAATAACTATTATGCCTTTGAATAAATTTCTATGTGAAGCAGATGTTCCAGTGTTATTCTTACTTTCAAAAGTGTTAGGATAGGCATTAGTCTATTCTTTACTACCTTTAGTCAGTGCAGAGAAATTTGATCCCACTAGATTTCCATTTAGACCAAAAAAAAAAAAAAAA